TTTTTTTTTTTTTTCCTTTTTTTTTTTTTTTTTTAACCTGGAGGAGAAATTAAAGGCAGGAAATGTTTTAAAAAAAAAAATTGTAAAATTTAGCAAACGTTACAACATGTACTTCAAAGAAAGATAGATTTACCTCTCTCACGATACTTCAGGGGTGGGACGGTGGGGGACCCTTAAGGTTGGGGTTCAACCTTTTAAGAAAGATAGATCTAAACAGATTATATAATGATGCCAGCCAATTCCATCTAATTTGGGTGACTAATAATTGCCAATTGTCTATAAACATTACAACTTGAAGTATTTCGATCTAGATCAATTTTCAAATATTCAAACTTTCGATATAGGTAAACTGTATATGTAGGTTCTCATTTAAGAAAAAATTGTTAATCAGTCGCACGATTTGCACCCAATTCAAATGTTCAAGATTTAAAATTTGAAAAAACCATAAAATTTTTAGATCAAACAAAAAAAGGTTCAAACTAATTCTGTACTTATAAATATAATTACGTGTACTAAAGAAAAATGTATGAATGGAGTTGTTGGATCATCAACCACTGCTATCAAATGAGTAATGGCGAGATATGGAGAGAGAAAAAGAAAAGGAGAGGTTGTGCTATATGCACATAATAAATTTACATAATGGTTTGCGTGAGAAATGTCAAAAATTTTTCATCCAAATAAGGAAAAAAGAAAGAAAGAAAAAGAACTTCCTTGCTCCCTTTCTAAAAAATCAACAGTATATAAAACATTACGTAACTGCTTATTATTCAAGGAAAAAAATTCAGTTATTATAATTTTTCTCTGTCTTCCAAGTCATTATTATGTACAACATTATGTATTGCTATTCGCATATACTAATTAACGTCTAAGTTTTAACACGAATTGTCGATTCACGGATAAAGACTTTGATTTGAACCACTTGACTAAACGTGTAATTAGGTGGTAAACTTGTACTACACAAAGAATTTTTCTGGAGAAAAAGAAGATCTATACGGGGAAGTCAAGTCTTTTGCTCTTTTAACGTTTAGAATAAGTCAAAAAGACTTTCCAATGCATTATTGCTGGTTGGATGATTTTTCGGAATAACAGTAATACTAACTCATGGTTTATAAATAATGTTGCTTAAATGGTAAAGAATACCACAATAACATATAATTGAGTTCACACTTGTTCTCAAAATGATGATTGGTAAAAAGTTATATCAACATATCCATTGGTTAGTTATCGTGCTGTTACTAAGCCTTAGTGCTTCTCGTGGATACTCTTCACCAGCGAAAGGTGGTAGAATCAGGTGCTTAGAGAGGGAGAGAGAAGCTCTTCTCAAGTTCAAAGAGGAGCTTGTTGATGAATATGGCCTACTCTCTTCTTGGGGAACCCATGAAGATAAGAAGGATTGTTGCACATGGAAAGGTGTCTATTGTCAAAACCACACTAATCATGTTATTGAATTGGATCTTCTTGGTCCATCAGACTACTATGGATATTCTACTGCCCCTCTAAGAGGTAACATCAGCCCATGGTTGCTTGAAATACGCCATTTGAATTATTTAGACCTCAGTTATAATGATTTCAATGGTAGCCGAATTCCAAAATTCATTGGCACCCTAAGCAGATTACAATACCTTGATCTGTCCTTTTCTAATTTAAGAGGTCACATTCCACATCACCTTGGCAACCTTTCGGAATTGCAACGTCTTAGTGTCAGCGGTAATTCCATGTTAACAAGCCCAAATCTTAATTGGCTTTCTCCACTTCATTCATTGAGATACCTTGACCTGAGTTATGTTAACCTCACGTTTGCAACTGATTGGTTACCAATAATCAGTAAACTAACTCGTCTCCAAGTGTTATACCTGTCATACTGTCACTTACCTCCGCTTGTTGATCCATTACCTTCAATGGCCAATGCTTCTAATATTCTTTCTGTTCTTCATCTTGTCGGAAATAATCTCTCCTCTTCTTCGGTATTCCCTTGGTTGTTTAACTTCAGCAGTAGTCTTAATTACCTTCACATCACCTGCAACAATTTACAAGGTCCTATTCCTAATGCTATTGGGAACATAGCATTACTTGAGGAACTGTATCTAGATGAAAATCAACTTGAGGGTGGGATTCCCTCATCCTTTGGGAATCTGAGTAGTTTAATGTATTTAAGTCTATCTGATAACCAACTTACAGGGACAATATCTGGTCTTTTATCCTCTTCCTCGTTGATATACATAGATGTTAGCAACAATATTTTTAATGGGACTCTGACAGAAAGAATTGGAAGCCTCTCTGAGCTTGAGTATTTGGATCTTGGAACAAATCGTTTTGAAGGTGTAATCACAGAAGCCCATTTCTTTGGTCTCTCCCTGTTATCCCAGTTATGCTTGTTTTACAACTTAGATATATCTTTCAATTTTAGCTCCAGATGGAATCCTCCCTTTTAACTCACATATCTCGGGTTGAGGGATTGCAAACTCGGGCCACATTTTCCCACATGGCTTCATACTCAGAAGGAATTACATTATCTTGACATCTCCAATGCTGGAATTCATGACTCCTTACCTGATTGGTTTTGGGATCTCTCTCCAAAATTAAAAACTTTTAACGCATCACATAACAACATTCACGGCATCCTTCCTGATTTATCTTCGAAGTTTTCCACTTACATGTACATAGATTTGAGCTCTAATCAGTTTAATTGTTTATTACCAAGTTTGCCTCTTAAAGGATCAGTACTGGACTTTTCAAATAACAAATTCCGGGGCTCAATTACTGATTTATGCAGTAAAGCTAGTTCTTGGGAATATCTTGATCTCTCCAATAATCTTTTGTCGGGGCAACTTCCAGATTGTTTTGCAAATCAGATGAGCTTAAAATTTCTTAATTTGGCACATAATAATTTTTCAGGTAAGATTCCTTTGCCAAATAACATTTCTTCTTTACGTTTACAAAATAACAGTTTTACCGGAGAAATCCCAGCATCACTGAGGAATTGTACATCTTTACATTTTCTTGATCTTTCGGAAAATAAGTTGACTGGTGAAATACCTACATGGGTGGGAGATCGTTTGTCAAAATTGGTCCTTCTAAATCTGCGTTCCAATCGGTTCTTTGGTACCGTTCCTTTAAACTTGTGTTGTTTACCTCGTTTACAAGTCCTAGACATCTCTTTGAACAAGATTTCTGGTGCCATACCGAAATGCTTAAGCAACCTCAGTGCTATGGTTCGGCAAGTGGAGTTTGAGTTGTATACATATATTCAATCATCGCAATTTGTCCAATTTGAGGATGCAGAAGTGACATGGAAAGGAAAGGAAAACGAGTACATAAAGAGTCTTCAACTGGTAAAACTCATTGATCTTTCAAGCAATAATTTAGTTGGTGAAATTCCTCCTGAAATTACAAGTCTCGTGGGTCTGGTTGGTTTGAATCTTTCAAGAAACAACCTAAGCAGACTCCTTCCTGTGAAGCTTGGACAGTTAAGGTCTTTGAATTTTCTAGATTTGTCAAGAAACCATATTTCTGGTGGTATTCCTGTCGGCCTTTCTCAATTGGATGCGCTCGGAGTGTTGGATTTGTCATATAACAATTTGTCGGGCAAAATTCCATTCATTGCTCATTTACAAACTTTTGAAGCATCAGCATATGTGGGAAATTCAGGACTTTGTGGACCTCCACTTGCAAAACCATGTCCAGGAGATGAAAGCCCTCTAGACCCAAAGTTCAACGAAAACAAAAAAGGGATAGAAAGTCCAGAAGAAGAGGACGAACTCATATCTCTAGGATTTTACATTGCTATGACACTTGGATTCATTGTTGGATTTTGGGGAGTATTTGGGACTTTACAGCTCAACAAGTCGTGGAAGTCTGCATTTTTCGGATCAATGGAGTGGTTGTACGTATGGATACTCATCAATAAAAATCGTCTGCAAAATTATTTTGCATTTTTGTAAATTTCCAGTAAGTAAATATGCTTGTATTTTGATTGTGTACTATTGAACGAAATGTGGCCTTTTTCATCCATTACAATAAAGCTGTTCCAGTTGCAATAATTTTATTGTCTTTATTTGGTGGGATTTAAAATTAAATTTTGATAAAAGTTAATATATTTTGTTAAAAAGTTGTGGATTCCATAAAAAATATTACAGAAATTAACTTAATCAGGTCACTTCATATCAGAATTCATTTTTAAATCCATTTTCATGTCCGATTGTTTCCATAGGTAACTTTTAATTTACTAAAAACGTGTTTCATAGAAATTTTTAAAAATGTCCAACTGCTTTTGATTTCTCTCAAAAAAAATTGAAGCCTCTCTTTGGTAATAAATTAATAAAGGTTATTTTCACCATCTAGATAAAATCAAATTTTAACTTCTAATTTTCTATCACACATTCAAAACTACTAATAACGACCCACACCTTTCGTGATCCCCACCATGCTCTTCCTAAAATGTTCCTAAAAATTATACGCAGCCACTTATTATCCCCATCATTTACAATTAGGTCTATGTTTGGCTCATATTTATGAACGGTTTATAACTACGAAAGACACTTATTTTTATAAATTGATAATTTAAACCTTTTTAACTAACACTTATATTTGCATAGTTCCAACTTCCAAGATTTAGGCTATAATAGGTAATCATGTGGTTATCAATCATTACCAGATCAATCATCCTACTTGTACAATGTATTTTACAATTTGACTTACAATGCATGAGTTGGCAAACATCACATCCATCTATTTGAAAAACTATTTTTAAATTCAATTGTCAGGATTTTAATAATATTGCCTCACACTCCTAGTTTTCGAATATCTTAGAGGGAATAATAAATCAGAATCACAGAATTTTCTGCAACATAAGGTAAAAGCAGTCCAAGTTTCATGTTGAGAAATCAAGAAACGAAGAATAGTCTAGAGTACATCATGACATGAAAAAGGTTTTGTTGACATTCACATTATCTGTAGAAAATGTTCTGTACATAGAGAATTTTTCCCTAGCAGAAGTGGAAATCTAAGACTTTTTATCAAGGAACCCCATTTCCTTCAATATCTTCACTAATGTCCCACGAGTTAATAGCACGTGAATGCCAGTGATGGAGTCGGACCCCTTTTATTTTCGTTGTTATTATTTTTATTTACTTATTATGTTCTTAGTTAAGGGGATTTACGTTCTTAACTAGTAATAAATATTCGGAGCTGCATTGATGATTAGGCTGCATTTTAATTACATGAAAAATCCATAACTTTTGCACATTATCACATTTATGTCTTAAACATTTTTCAACATATTTTTATTCTCAAATTAATATAAATTGTCCCTGATCATGGTTTCTCTAAAAAAAATTCTTTAAGATAGTAAAAAGACTCATTTGCTTATTTGTATTTTTGAAATAAGCAAAACAAATAATATTGCAAAAATACAATTAAATATTTATTTGGTATATTAAACAAATATACGACTTAAAATTAGGTATGGAGCATTTTGTCATCTCTAAAGGGTTATACAATATTATGTTTAATGTTTTTATTGTAATGCCAAAAATACAATAAAGAATGGTGTGAGTAAAATTAAAAATCATTACTTTTTTTTTTATTCCTTTTATTGTAATTGTTTAAGACGTCTTTAACATTTATACATTATCCTACTTATGTCCCTAATTTTTTAATGGTATTCTTATTCTTAAATTAATAAATGCGGTCCCCGATGATGGGTTTTGTCAAAACTTTTGTCAAGATGGTGTAAAAAGACTTGTCTGTTATTCGAATTTTTATATAAGTCAAAAAAATAAAAAATAAAGTTAAATATTTGTCAATGTTTTAAAGCGCTTTAATAATATTTTGAAGAAAAATCGTTATTAAGGACAAGATGAAATGTTAAAAAAACCCATGGAAAGTTACTGAAATTAACCCTAAAAATATTATAAAATATAAATTGTAATGTGAGTTTTCTCTTTCAAGCCTCAAGTGTATTATTCTCAATACATATTAATTCACGTAAATTCGTATGATTAATAATTCGTTTCAGAAATGAAAAATAAATTTTATAAAAAATAAAAATTCAATTTTATATTCAATATTCGGATCTAAATAATTCTATATTTATTAGTTTAAACACCTAAATTTAGTAAAGTTTTAAGTAAGATTGGATTGTACCAGCTGACTAATCTAATGAGTCATTCTGATCTAGTTTGAATGATCATGAGAAAATACCGGCAACTAATTTTTCATGTGCTTGTCCAAAAAGTGCTCATTGCTAGACTATAAAATCGAAACTACCCCAAAAATTACCATTTCATTTTAAATTATGAACCCAAAGGTTGTTAAAGCAAATCAGTTAACATGGGCTCCCTCTGATAAACTGAGTCAAAAAATACAAAACTGAAAATTAGAGCTACCCTCGTGTCAATGAAAACCCAGTAATCCCACCTCGGTCTCCCTACGCCAGCTTCTTGTCTTTCAGGGAGCCTTTGGGAATTTTACTCAGAACCTTAACATTGAACACAGCATATTGCTTCTTGAACTCTGCTTCCGCTTTTTCAGCAAAAGCATCAACCTGGTCCTCATAAATCTCGTAAAGTACAGGCACGGTGTGAAGCAGAACAAAACCTGTTTTTCAACGGGCAAAAATAGAATCAGAACAAGCCAATGAGAGTGCACATTATGCCAGAATAAGTTAGTGAGTATTATGATCGTGACATACAAGCTTTTTCATGATAAACATAAAAAAGCTACTTACATATGTAGAACAAGGTTAGGGAGTTGCAGCAACTCCCCAAAACTGAAAGTACCCAAAGACTGGCAACCACCTGACATGCAGAATGTGATATCCTTATGATCCAAGAATGAGTTGCAAAAATAGCAAATTTTAAATTTAAAAAGTCTTTTATCAGTAGATTACTAATCCACCAAATTTGTACATATATGAATGCGAAGATTTACATACAGCGAGGAATTTCTTCAGATCTCTGCCACATGCAATATCTCGGAGGATTGCAAGAGCACTGTTGAGTTCAATCCCAAGGGCAGAAGCTACACCCAGGACAACATCCTCAGGAATGATGACTTCTGGGATTTTAGGTGGGGCCCTAATACGTTCAACAGCAATATCAGATTCCAAATAAAAAAACTTACAATCAAAAAAGGGTTGCTAAATTGATCAAAAAGCATACTTCTTGATGAAGGCGGAAACATTTGACCACGGGAAAAGGATGGTCAGAGCGAAAATTAGAATATGGGATACTAGTGTGAGTAAGTGGTATTCAAGCAACTCAAAAAGCACCCAAATTGTTGTCGCAACACCCAGCACACCAGCGGAAATTTTCTTGTCCCTCCACAGGAAAATGTCAGCAGCTGCAAGGACAATATAATTATAAGACAAAGATACAAGATCCATATGCCAGGTCATTTACCTTGTAATGACCGGCTTCGCTCTTAAATTAACTATCCATACAGCAGTTTCATACTTAATGCATAAAAAGGGAACAAATTGAAACAAAGTCAAATAATTTTTAATAGTCTACATCAGAAAGTGATAATAATTTGATCAAAATAAGATGCATATCCGTTCAACTAAAATTTCTACGTTCCAAGCACAAAAACACAATGCATTATACAGTATATGCGCATTGTTACGGTTATCAGAAGCCTAACTAAATTAAAATAATGCTGTGTTTGCATACATCTACAAGTAAATCATATATAGTCCAAATCCGTACGTTTTCCACCCCCTAAATCACAATGAAATGTATAATAGATGTGCATTGTTATGCAATCGAACATTAACCACAATTAATAAAAAACGTTGTACTTGCATATGTCTACGCGGAATTACATTTGGTTCGAGTGCTTACATTTTCCACCACCTAGAACCTTGTGCACAGGCCTTTCACGGCCTAAGAGTCGATAGATCTTGGTCTTGACGGCGTCAGCCTTCGACTTGATTCCCTTCTCATCTTCAGAATCTGACGACGACGAATCGTCACCGTGAACCTTTTCCGCTATCTTCTCAATAACTGATTCCGTTTCCCGATTCTTCTCGTGCTCGCCGACGTGATCCTCCATTGCTGCTTTCAATCTCCGATCTTACTCACCGTCGATCGGCAATCTTATGCCTTTTAGACTTTAGTTTAGTGCTTTAGAGAATCACCTTTTTTGGCTTTCTGAGTATATGGAAGAGGAAACCGAAAATGGAAAGTTGGTGGTTTACAAGTACGGTAGGTTTGGGCGTTTAGGGTACCCGAACCTGAGGCTCGGATAATTCCAAGTCTGTGGTTCGAAAATGAACGGGAATCAATGAAGAGCTAGGGTTCGAAAAAAGAGAAATTATCGCAATATCTTCTGCATTGCTTTATTCAAGGTTTAGGGACTGTTTGGCTTGATTTTGAATCTGTACACCTCCAAAAAAGTAGGAGATTTTTGTCTACCACTAAAGCAAAATTATTTTTCTCAAACTTATTTT